TTTTTATACAGATGGCAGGATTTACTGCCTCAAAACAAAATGTTCCTTTGGGCAAACAGTATTTGCTGTCCAGCAGGTTCAACATTTCATTCCATGGGCAAAACCAGCAGAATTGCCTTCCAATAAATGTCCATGGAGATGGACATGCTTTTTATTTAACTTAAAGCAATTTATGAAATATTATGTTTTCCAGGCAAATCGAGAGAGCCATGGGAGATCATGATGGAAATTTATTTATAGGGTCCTTCACAAACTCATTTCCTTTACAATTTAATGTTTTTCTCATTTCAAGACACCCTAGAGAATCGGGATATAAAATCTACCCTGTCTGCAGAATCGCACTGGATGCTTGAAGATTTCTGTAGCTGGCCAGGGATATCATATATGTCCTCTGTTTACTCTGCAGAACGTGGCAACCCATCAGCAATAGCAGTAAAAATAATAACAAAAAAATCAAACAGCAAACCTGTTCCAGCGTGAAGCTTGTTGTAAAAAGCTGATTTTCCTAGACCTGCCTGAGGGTGCAACATGATCTTTCCCCTAGCAGGTGCTGTCAGCAAGGAGGTGGCACTGTGAGAACCCTACATTAACCTACCCATGGCCTTGAAATAAAGCTTCCTCACCTGCTGAGTGGTTTACAACTTGCAGACATCGGTGCAATGTCAATTTGTGACACAGGATACACAGTTAAGGAGTGATTACATCCCAAGTTTGGAAAATACTGCCTCAGATGTTTTTTTATTTTTTTTTTCCTTTTGATTCCTGTTACAGTGAAAATATCATAAAATTCAGATAAGGGCAGAAAAAGAAGATGTGAACCACATTACTGCTGCATAACTTTCCATGACAAGGCATGGATTGGTTTTCACCAAACTCATGGGCACCACCAGGTAGAGAAAAGCATGTACACCAAAAAGAAGCAATGTTGCACATTAAAAGACTTCACAGGTTCACACAACCTCTCCCTTAAAGGTCAACTTTTAAAGTGCTTTATCTCATTTCATCCAGTCTTAGGTGAAAGAGTCATTGATCATATTGAGAGATTAAGGGATATACTGATCACTCTCCTCATAGTGAGTAATTTTGCTTGAAGATTTCTAGGTGAAAGGTGTGCAGAAAAATCAGCCAAGGAAAAAAAAACACAATTGAATCCAAGCTATAAATGAGGTTTCTTAACCTTTTGAAGCATCAGAACCTGAAATTTAAAATCTCTTAAGTTAGCCACTGAGTTTGTCAAAACAAGAAACAGGATTTTCCCCTCTTAATGTATTTTCATGGTTTAAAAAAATGGAAAATTCTTATCAGCATTGTGGATGCTCTACGCCCTTCAGCCAACTTCCTATAAATAGATAAACAAAGCCAATTCTTGGCTAAAGAGTTCAGTTTTGGGAGGTCTCTGTGAACTGATTTGGCTCTAATATGTATGAGACGAGGGAGCAGAGCTGAGGAATGGTGAGGAGTAGGACAAGACATGATCTCATCTGAACCAAGACCAAGCGGTATATAGAAGGTATAAAAACATTTGTCTGCACATATCCAGGCAAAACAGAAATGACAAGGTTGCTGCCAAAAGTCATCCTTCAGAAACACAAAGCTGAGGAACCCTTAACAACCCTGTGTCCATCCAGATCAAGTAGGAAGGAATCATGAGGAAAAGTCGACTGTGGATGTGAATGGAAGAGGTGCTGGCTTGGTACGATGAGATGGACCTGCCAGGGTGTGAGATTCTCAGCTCAAGACCAACATCTCTGTGACACTGGAGAAGGGAACACCCATCCAAAAGATGGACAGGGAGATTCCTCCCCATGTGAGCCAGTCAGCCGGGATATCGCAGTGCACAGCTTGGCCTGTGCCAGCCCAGCAGGCTTGGAGAAGTGAGAGGGTCTGTGGGTCTCCTGAGTGCTGCTGCCAGCTGCTTTACAGGAAGGGAGGAAAAAAGGTCACAAAGCTGACACCATGGAGGAGAAAAAAAATAGAAAAATACAGGCAACCAGCTCCTTCGGACCTTTGTCTCATTGAATTGAACTTGAGAAAGTCTCTTTGTGTATGTGTTTGCTGCACACCAGCTGCAAAGCAATCTCCTCTCTCTGCTCCACCATCCCATGTTGGATCTGAATCAGCACAGGCACAAACCCTGTACTGCCTGACGGGTTCGCAGGGCTCACTAGATGAATCAGACAAATACATCCTCACCTCACCATGTTTCTGTTTTCTGCAGTCTTCGGGGCTACGTTTGCACTAGTAAATCAGACAGGGGAGGAACTGTTGCCCCAGGTGGACTCAGACCTTTGGGTGGGAGTAAACTGTCCTCGAGGGATGCTCTTATCTCCTGGTGATGAAGGAAGCAAAGGGAACCCCACTTTGTATCTAGAGGTTTTGGCTAAGAGCTAGCAGGACCACTCTGCTTGCCCTTCCAGGGCAAATTGCAACAGCAAATTCTGGTTTCTTCTCTGTTTTTAGACATCACAGGTCTGATTCCTTCCTCACTAAAATCAGTGAAGGCCGTCCTTGGATCTCTAACCAATAGATTGTGACCTATACACTCAATCAAGAATTTTTGATCAGCCCAGGAAAGATAAGGAACAGGCTTTGACAAACATACAGTCTGCCATGCCTTAATGGCAGAGTTATTCCCCTATTTTGGTATCAGCATTTCCCCAGTTGTTAGGCATGAATATTGTTCATCCACATGAATGCCCATTAAAAAAATATAATCTATTATGCATGATTGGTAATTGAAAGGATTAAGAAAAGATTTCTTCCCCTGTACATTCCTATTGCATGTAATTTTTATCTACATTTAAGAACAGTTTGTAGACATTTATTCCAAATAATCCAGTGATGAATGCATTTCAGTGAGGGCTGCATTTTATGAGGGGTGTTCTATTTGTTTATAAATAATTTTATGGGTTTTGCTAATTCCTTGAGCTTTGCTAAGTCTTTGTCAAACATGTTATTAATCTTGAGTTCTCAGTAACAAACACAAGCAAATAGTGAGTCACTGGTGGGTTTTTTTTGTTTGATTTTTTTTTTTCTTTGTTCCAGCAGTGAAATGATACTAAGAAATTTCTTTGAGCAAGAAAATCAGGAGGGTTACTGCATCTACTTGGCAGGATTTAAGCACAACATACTTCTGGAAGGTTGGAAAGCCAGAGCCAGAATATTTAGTCGTCTTCTCTCTCATTGGTGGTTCAGCCACATGGGATGCTAAATAACGCAGCTGTACACACTTTGACAGCTGACTGTTAGTAACTTCTGCCCCCTTTGATTGCCTCCAGAAGCCATACCAGCATCTGTGAGGAAAAGGCAAGCAGTGAGTGTAGCTGGGCTGACCCAGATTTCTGCAGAGCTGGTTAGTACTCCATGCCAAACTTTCTCTAGAGTTGACTCCTCTTGCAAGATTGCTTAACTCCTCTGTAATACTATTTTTAGTATTGTTACATGAATAACAACAACAACAATAATAATGAGAGAATGAAAAGAGATTACTTGTTAGAAACCTTACATTTCAGTAGCTGCCATTTGGCGATCAATGGTTACGATGTGTTTTAACTTATTTTAATGATGCAAACCAAGAAAAGAACATCACAAATTAATACTGGCTTTTAAAGACCTCATATGTGTTTGCAGCTGGTGGAGAGGTGCTTCAGTGCCTGACAGAGGACTGCCTCTCAGCCACTACATCCCCTACCAGGTCGGAATCCAAAACTCGGAGATGTTGAAGGGAGGAGGTTTTCCCCTTGACTTTACTGGGCCCTACCCTGACAAGTCGTTCAAAGAGGATGTGGGACACAGAGTCAAGATCCCAACTGCTCTTCCTGACCTTCTTCAGAGTTTTGGGGAACTTAGACTTTAATTTGCCTGCAGAAGATCAGATGATTTCATCGACTGGATGAATCTCAGAAGTGCTGGTCGATGTGACCCAGCAGCTTTATCTAAAGGAGCAGGATAGAGAGTAGATTATCCCATCAGCCTCATCTGCATCCTAAAGGACTTCTGCAAACTTGCCCAATACCTCTTTCCTACTCCATTTGAGTAACAGCCAGGTGAGGTCAAAGTGCTTCAGATACTAGAAACTTGCCAAGAAGGAAAAAAATAAATAAGAAAAGAAAAAAGCACCATGAGGAGCTGACTCTCAGACTGCAGCAAGGGAATAGTGACATTATGACAGGGCCTGAAGAGAAGGTCCAGACTGGTTCATCCAGAGTCCTTGCTTTAGGGAAGCACATGCTGCAATAGGAAGTTTGGTCACTGTTCCTAATTTTCCACTTTTGGCAATTCTGTATCATGTTTGGAAACTGACTGGTGTGAAACAGCCCCAGCTCGATTCACTCATGGCCAACAAGGACCGTACCTCTTAATTGCTGCTGAAGGTGGTATGTATAAGAAAATAACCTTTTAGCACACCTTGCAAAAAGCAGCAACAAGGGAAACTCTGCATGGTGACAAAATCTTGCTGGTCTCTCCTGTGGCATTTCCTGTGAAGGCATTCCCTTGTGCTCTTCCCTCCAACCTCAACAGCAGCTCCTCATCGGAGCATCTCTAGGCAAACTCAGTGACTGGTTGAAGTCAGACTTGTTTACACCTGCTAAGAGTTTGACCTAGCATACATATGTGTGTGTGACCAAAACACAAAGAATAGGAATGTTCAGAAGATGTTCAGAAGGTGACCATCCATGAGCAATCCCTGTGGATTTATCCAGCAAATTTTGCCTTTGGGTCTCATGAAGGTAGGTTTGTCTGGTTTGTATCCAGCAGTTTGTGCTTCTGGGTGATACAGGCAGACTATTGATGGAGTCTTTCTCCTCATGAGGGTTTGGACTAGTGAGAAACAGGAAATTCAGAGGGCAGAATGAGAAGCAATTTAGGAGTTAAAAAAATGACTGAAGCCTGTTTCCATGAGCACCCACAAAAAAGGGAGGGCTGAGTTAGCTACCTTCTGAACGGATTTTAGACACACACACACACACACACACACACACACACACACAGAGAGGAACAAATACCCAAGATCCAAAAATTCTCCACCCTCCCTCAACCCCTTTGGTGGGCCGCTCTCTGCTGCTGCATCTGGAAGAACAAAAATGTTGCACATTCTGATAACCACATTTTCCATCCTAAAATTGCACTGGTTTCTGGCTTGCTACTGGGACCCAGGTCAGGGAAAGGAGAATAGAGTTTTCTGCCTGAATCCAGCAACCATGAGCTGTTAACCCTGCCCACCCCAGAGGAGTGAGCTTGCCCAAGCGAAGAACATGCAACCGGTTGTATCGAGCTGTCTGCGTCAAGTGCTTGTCTGCAAGACAGGGCAACAATGACCCTCAAGGGGTCTTGATCAGTGTTGTGTGTGTTACCAGGCAGACTTTACAGGGAAAGAGCAAACCAAACTGAAGATGCTGATGCTCAGGGTGGCTAGTACCCTCGCAAGAAGATGTCACTGTACCCTCCCCTCAAGACTCTTGCTTTACTGGGTGAGACTCCTGTCCTCCTTGGCTGCCCACACTATCCAAGAGGTCCAAGAACCACGTGATGCTTTGCAACCCTCCCTTGCAAACTCTTAGTATCTCTGTTGTTCAGCAGGTAGCAAGGCCCATGGGTCTGGATAGCCCTGCCTCTGTTAACACCAGGGAGACTTAGATCACTGAGTATATGTATGTGATCAACAGCTGGCCACATTGGAGGCTCACTTCTTTTTCCCATATAACAACCTCTTGTTCCACAGAACAGAGAAACTGTATGGAAACCCTTTGGCATCTGGTACGTGGCCTGATACTCTTTTGCCCACTAAATGCTCTCCAGGAACCTTTTTCATCCTTTTGTTTCTTTTTTTCTCCTCCTCTTTCTACATCACTGTCTCTCTTTCTTCTTCAATGAGTACTGTTGGTCTGTCTCCATCGTAAAGCCCAGAGCCATTCAGGTACTCCTCGTCTTTGTTGTACTGCTCTGGTCCAGAAGAAGGCATGGAGTTTTCAGAAATGGACCCATTTTTTACATAACCTGGCAAATTCCGGTGTCCATTGAGGGTCCCTGGTATAAGTCTCGTATTGAGATGGAGGGCAAGTGCTCCTCTTGTGGCTACATTTGTGATGCTGGTATGGGAAACCATTGGTCCATAACTGTAGGTTGTGCTCCCACTTCGTGCTTTCCTTTTAAAGTCAAGTGCTAATGTCCACCTGCTCCATGACTTCTTTATTTCTGCTTGGACCTGAGAGACAAAAGGAGAAAAAAAAAAAGCATAAGTGGGAGGAAAGAGGGGCAGAGAGTATCAGAAGGAGGTAATATCCACAGACAGAGTGGGTGAGAAACTCTCTGAGGAGTGAAATTGGAAGGAACAGTAAATTCACATTAAATCCACCCTTTCCAAATGAAATATTTGTCATTGGGAAGCTCAAATGGCTGAAAACATCTAATTGAAAATGTGGGTTAACTGTCTCTCAGGGTTAAAGGACAGTGAGCAGCACATCCAGGAGAGAGACCTCTCAATGTGCCATGAGCATCAAGTATGATGAACCTCCTTTGGAGGTGCCTGAGTCACTAGAAATTTCTTCTAGAAAGGAGTAAGCTGACTACTTTAGAGTGAGCATCCCACTTTTAGATGGCTAAAGTTAGAATGAAATCAACTCCCCTTATGGTAAGGGTTTCATCTTGGTTTTACACTGTGGAAGCAGTATATTTGTAGTTGCATTTCCCCTGAAAATTCATAAATTTAGGCCAAACAAGCCTTATGCTGGACCATAAAAGTAGCTCTGTCCTTTCCCCGTGTGTATCCACTGGCCATGTAGCTTCTTAACTTGCAGCCATAGAGGGAATTAATGGAAACAGACATAAAAGCATATCACTCTGGAAAAGACCTAAAAACATCACTCTGGAAATAGAAAAAAAGGTCGAAAAAGCTTGGACAATCAAAAGAGCTTGTTGGTTAGGCAGCTACTCTATCAATCCACTTTTCTCCTGCTACAAATCTGAAATTAAGCAGCGTTAAACAGCAATTGTGCTAGGAAAAGAAAAAACACATTTGTTTTTCTCCATTTATGGATGACATACCGACCTGGATGACCAAAAACTGAGGGTATGAGCTTTCTATGTTGGACTGATAAATATTTCACTGAGTGCAAAAGGGAGTTGTGTCTCTATAATAAGTGAGGATATGTTGATGTGCATCCACCTTATGGTCTGAGTGTGGAACTAACCTAACGAAAAGAGGGAAATAATTAAGAAGCTGGTGACTTACCTCTCCATTGCAAAAACAGTATATGATGGCAACGAAAAATCCCTAGAAGGAAGAAGAAACAATATATTAATGTTAACCTTGCTGCATGTGAGAATCACTTTCCTGATGGTGCTGCCCAGTGTCCCTGTTCCTCTGAAATCAATGACAGTCATAGTATGATGTATATAATGTGTGTGAGAAACCTTCCACTGTTCAGTAGCCCATGGAAGACAGATAAACAGACATTTTGCTGCAGATTTGTGAAAAAGTAAATAGACTCTATAAACCCTTTGGGTCATGGTTTAGCTACCAGGACTGTTTTCACCCCCAGATCTTTTGCAAAGGTTCTGAGATGGTGAGGGGTGTCTGAGGAGGTGGTGGGGTCTACTTCACTGGAGGTGTTTATGAACTTGTTGCATAAACATTTCCAGTGTTTTAAAATGTAGCTGATCCTGCTTCAGGATGGGAGGACGGAAGATGGTCCTGATGGGACTTATCCAGCTCTTGCTGTAAGTGAGGCAGCTCATGCATGGAGCAGAACTGGCTGAGGTGGGATCAGCAAAGGAATTCAGATGTGAGCAAACGATCCACATCTTTCTGTTGGCCAATAGGTCTTGCTGAGTTCATCCACTATTTTATTTGACCTTCATCTGTCCTGGATTCTGCTGGGATAGAGTGAATTGTCTTCCTAATAGCTGGTATAGTGCTGCGTTTTGCATTTAGGATGAGAATAATTTTGATAACACACTGATGTTTTAGTTGTTGCTGAGCGGTGCTTACCCTAAGCAATGGACTTCTCAGCTTCTCGTGCTGCCCTGGCAGTGAGGAGGCTGGGGTGCACAAGAAGCTGGGAGGGGACCTTACTGGGACAGCTGAACCCAACTGGCTGGAGGGATATCCCATGCCATATGACATCATGCTCAGCATACAAACTAGAGGGAAATCTGTCCAGGGGTCTGCTGCTTGGAAACACGCTGGGCATCGGTGGGTGGGTAGTAAACAATTGTTTTTCATTTGCATCACTTGTTTCTCTTGGGGTTTATTTCTCTCTCTTTTCGTTGTTTTCCTTTTCATTACAATTTATCCTTATTCTTATTCTTATTCTTATTCTTATTCTTATTCTTATTCTTATTCTTATTCTTATTCTTATTCTTATTCTTATTCTTATTCTTACTCTTACTCTTATTCTTACTCTTATTCTTCCTATTCTTTTTCTTATTATTTTTAGTTATTTTATTTTATTTCAATTATTAAACTGTTCTGATCTCAAGTCATGAGTTTTCTTACTTTTACCCTTCTGATTTTCTCCCCCACCCTACTGGGTGAGCGAGTGGCTGTGTGGTGTTTAGTTGCTGGCTGGGGTTAAACCACGAGAGCACCCAACGGGAATTGTGGAAGCACAAATATTGAAGCTTTGTCCCCATCTCCCTTATATTTTTTTTCCTAAACTGTCATCTGGCCAGACCATCTGTCCACCTTTCATCATCCACGCTGGTCAACCATGATGATTGGTAGTAGCATGCAAGCCAAAAATTAATCCCTCAGGGAAGGGTGTGCAGTGATGATCAAATGCTGCTCTTGTAGACAGTTGCATATTCTTGTTGCTGTGTCTTATACAGGACCAGTCCTGTAACTGAACCTGCCTTTTGCCCAAACCTAGAACTGAGGAGTCCATTCACAGGACTGAAAGACAACTTGGGACAAGCAAATTGGAAGCTAATTTGAAACAACATGTCTCTGTGGATCTCTACCAGCTTATGTCTAACCTGGATCTAAAGGGATTTATTTTGTGGGGCAAGTTATCTTTCAACAGGAACATTTTTTGTTGAACAAAACTGAGCCTTTATACGTTGTGCAAATATAAAACATACTTGATGCTAAAATACTGTCAAATCACCTTGTGAATGAAATCCGGTGTATTGTAAAAACAGCTCTGCTTCCAAAGACAACCTTGCACTCTTATTTCCCTCCTCTGCCCATTGAAATTCTCAGAGTTTATCCCCATGGTTTAACAGTTACAATACCTGGAAAGAGTTGAACAGCATTTCATAGTGCATTTGAACTTGCCAAAGAATCCCTGACACATCTGTGTATGGCATAGCCATGAAAACAATATAGTGAACGCCAAACAGAGGCATAAGGACGAGGGTAGATTTCAGCAGCTTCCTGTAGCAATAAGGAAAGACACAGAGGAAATTAGTGGATGGAGCGAACCTCCCAGCCAGGCTCATCCATCTCATATCTTGGGCACAAGTTGCATGTAATTTTGTTCTTGCTTATGTGGCCCCTTGGCTAGGCTTGGATATCTTACATTTACACAAGCACCTTGTCCACCTGCAGTTTCAAACTGCTGCTTCTCTTACGGCATGTGACACAACACAGTCCATGCTCCAGCATGTCTTGATGTGCTGGTCTAACCCTCCTCACACGCATGGCCCTGTGTGATGCTGCTGTAGGTACTGGAGATGAAGACACCGAGATGTCTTTTTCAGCTTCAAGCTATCCCTAGCTTTGGGTCAGGATCAAGGGTAGAGGGTGGAAGGGTGACTGGAAAGAAATGTGCACTGCTGCTTCCAGCCCTCTGACTGGCACCAAATCCCCTTGTTCCCGAAGGATGGTTCTGCTTCAGCTTATGACGACTGGACATGGTGCTATACAGTAGCTGAGACTGCTTGAGCAGGGGAGGTTGGACTAGATGACCTCCAGAGGCCCCTTCCAACCTCAACCATTCTCTGATTCTGTCATTCTCCCTGCTTATTGAGGCAAGACATGAAGGTCCTCCCTGGGTTAGAGCCTTCTGTGCCATGAGCAGGGCTGGTGGAGAGGGAAGTGCATCAAGGAGAAGAATTACTCTAGATATCAAGGGGAAGAGGATACTGCATTATGGGGAAAGCAGAAGGTGAATGCTCTTGGGAGGTGCTTTGGACTGCAGCATCACTTGAAAAGCCCCTTTTTAAAGAAGCAGCTCCAACTCAGCATAGGACTTCTGTTGGGGATTGGGGGAAGGCATAATGCAACCCCAAGTACTTGGCTGGGTTTGCTCCTGAGGGAACCAGAATGCCTGGAAGCATTATTAATTGAAGGATTAAACCTTCTTCCAAGAGTTACAGCAAGTCACCAAGCGGCAATTATTGAGAAGGGCAGACATCACTACCAGAAAGACCTGGTACCTCCTCTGTCCAGCAACCGGAAACCACTGAGGGAATTTAACACATTAAAAGAGGAAGGCTCCATCCAAGCCATAATTAATTGCAAGCTTCAGCCAGGGAGAAATAAATAAATAGATAAATCAGAGCCCTGACAGGGCAGCAAAGAAAAATGGAGAGGTGATTTCCTGCCAAATCTCACTCCTGCTTCAGATGAAGTGTCTTGTGTTTGGAGAGTGAGATGGTAGCAGTGAGCTCATGGTTTGCAGCTCAAACAATTCTGCTCTCCCTCCCTTTACATGTGTCATGCTGGTCAGTCTTGCTCAGGAGATGATGAAAAGCCTTGAGAGCTCTCAAACAGCTGAGGTGTCTCAGCAATTTGCTTTTTCTGTCTGGTTTTGACCATGCTACAAATATTCTAAATTATCAGGAGGGAAGCACTGGCAGAACAAAGGAAAATAAACCAAACAAGGAAATGCCAGATTTCCAGCAAAGAGTCAGGAAACTTTTTTTTTTTTTTAATTTTATTTTATTTTAACAAGGACATTGAAGCACCCACTGAAGGGCAGGTTTAACAAATAGATCAAGTTTTACAAAGCACAGGGGGGAAATAAATAGAAATAAATAAATTGGTACAAGTTTTAGGGGCTTCAACAGGTAAGTAATGCTTTTATTTTTTCACTCGTAGGTCAAGGCCAGCACAGTCACTTCCAAACTGGTTGCAGAGACCGTATTCCTCTCTTTAACCTATGAGTCAGGTTGGATTTGAAATGTTTACATGTTTAAACTGCTGTTGATTCAGTCTGCATTACCAGACTTGAAAGACAACATTCTTCTCACCTTATTTTAGGTGTCTACAGTGTAGACACCAGGAACTTGTCACCCTGGGCTCCCTTGGTAGTCAAGTGCATGAAACAATGACATCTCCCAAAACGTGGAGAGGGTATGTGACTCACCTGTACTGTTGTCTTGAGTCACACCTCCCTGCATTCGTCTCTCGTAGCTTGGTTGCTAGGACTCTGATAATATTGATAAAAAGAATAAAATTTACCTGGAAAAGGAGGGGGGGGAAAAAAAAAAGACAAACAACAACAAAGAGAGAATAACTGTTAAAAGAGATCCAAACAATTGTAGTGTTGTTTAGTCAATGCTTTTCCCAGGATGAGTCAAGGAGCTGTGGCAGTGACCTTTTTGTGCTCTGTATGAAGCTCCTTCTTGGGACAACTCGTCCCGTGGAAGGGACGAGCTCTCCAGGAAAGACTCAGTGTTTGGTGGGATCTAGTCAGCTGTGTTTAACCTGAATGGTTGAGAGAATGGCCTTCTCTGACAAGATGTGGGCACCTCACATGGAAATACTGAACTAGCCAGTCTGGCAGACACTTGACAATGGGCTAGCATATCAATATATAAGGCAGTGCTTACTAGGCATTTTGGGGTAAGGACTACAGAGAACTATCAGTATTTTTGCGTCATCTATTTTGTCAAATTCCATAGAGTGATATGGGACATTTTCATGGCCTCATAAACCTCTCAGACTTGGCTCAGGGTTCAGAGAGCAGACCAAAATGAGGTTGTATTTGTCTCTTGCAGCCCACCTGGGATTAAGAGACACATTAGTAGGATGCCTTTCTGTATTTCCATATGAGAACAGAAAGAAGAGCAAGTGGACTGCACCATGATGAAGGTGCAGGGACCTAACTGGAGATGACAGATCAAGAATGCCAAAGGGCAACAAAAACCTCCTGTTGTACATCTACTGCTGTTGCTCTGGAGGGGTGTTGAGTATGGACCAGATAAGGACAGGAAGGAAGTGTTACCTACTACTTATACAGGGAGACATACCTATGAATCCATCTCGTGGCCAGCTGCTCAACCCAGCTAATCCAGTCCTCCATGACATGCTCATGGTAACCCATGCAGCAAAAAAAGTAACAGCAACCTCTGCCTCATGGCTACACTACTGCTTAACAGAGATGGAAAATGGGGAGATGTTTGAGGGATTCTCAGGTTTTTCTGAGCTCTTCAGAGAATGATTTCACTGGGGCTGGAATTACACCTGCTGCTGCCCTGGAAAAAACCATTCTTGGGGCTATGGTATAGCCACAAGCAGAACCATTGTGTAACAGTCTGCGCTGGGCAGATCCATGTTGCTGGGCTAATGCTGATGCTTATGGGTTTCTCTGGAGGCTTGCAGCAGTCATTTGACTTCTCAGATGCCAGCATAGCAGCATTTTAAAGAAACAAATTACCATGCCACACACAGGCTCATAGTTCTACGCCAGAAGGGACCATTGTGAACCTCTAGTTTGATCTCCTGCAAAACGCAGTCCATAAGCCCTCCTTGTATTCATTTTTGTTTGAGCTATAGCAGATCTGGGTTTCAGTGTTTCCATGACGGAGATCCTACCACAACCATAAGTCGTTCCAACGGTCAATTATCCTCACTGTTAAATAGTTCCCCGAGTCGCTGAATGAACATGGCCTGGTTTGCTATGGCTTTGTCTTCTGTGGTTGGATTCCTTCTCCTTTAACGAGGTGCAAGTCCATTTTGAACAGCTCTCCTCTGTGTTAAAAAGGGGGTAAGGTTGTACCTACACCCTCTCCTTTGAAGGGCCATTAATAGAATTTCTCTCCCGTATCTCTTTGACTGTTTTCATGAGGTTTGTGGGAATTTAACATCCATGCAACCCCATTCCCTTAGTTACATTTGGTTGGAATTTACTGACTGGCATAAAAGTTATAAGGGAGGGATGGATAGACCAACAGGCAGAGAAGCACACAGCCTGGGGGCATATAATTAATTTTCATTGGAAACCAATCTGAAAAAAAAAAAAAAAAGAGAGGCTGTGTTTCTCATAGGAGTTTTTCTAGCTTCAAAGTCTCAAAAGTGGGGTCTTGTTCTGCATTTTTCAGCTAAATTGAAGATATCCAACCTTATCACAGTCAGGTGGGATGCTCCTCTGACTTCCTGAAACATGCTAAGTCTTAAAAGAAATCCAGACAACTGAGTAACATCAAAGCTCGCAGAAGAGTGGAAGGATTTTAAGCCCCTCAGCCTCAAAACTCTGCAAGCACATCCAGAAAATGTGCAACTTAGTCCAGCAACATATGACCAGCCAGTGTGGGAATTGAAAAGGCAGCCAAGTGAACAATATGAATCCACAGAAATTAAACAGAAACAACCCACAGAATATTTTTGCATGATAAATAGCTGCATTTGCAAATAGCCAGGGTACAAGCACAGCAGAGACTCATGGAGAAACATTATTTTTACAAGTACGATCCTCAATTGAGCTCTTTCTCCTCTGCTAATTGGGCTTTAAATTAAATGCAATGGGGTTGCTGGCATTCATCTAGTTGAACTATCTGAACTTTCTTCTCCATCCTACTATTTTGTTTCCAATGACCACGATGTGGGCTTGGTGATTTGTTTCTTCCAAGGTGCAGAACTCACTGCTAGAGCCGGGTGGAGAATTTCACCAACAAAAAAAAAAAAAAAAAAAAAAAAAAAAATTAAAAAAAAAATCCAAAGCAGCCCACCTAATTGCATATATGAGCATATTCACCTCAGAAACTTTCCTGATGTCGATATGCAGATGATCTGCTTTTCTTCTCACCCACACTGATCATCTTCCAAGCCTCCTGATTTGTGACTCAGAAGTATATAGAGCTTGATGCAAAACCCTCTGAAGACTACAGAGAGATTCTTACTGACTCCGCTCAGCTACTCATGGATGAACGTAAAGGGGGACTAGGATGTGTGGGAGTGGACAAGCTCTTTTGGATGTGCTTATCTATCCATCAGATGGAATAATAAAGAACCATAAACAAAGGCAGAGGGAGGAAAGAGGGTAATTAATGAAAAGAGTGAAAGCAGGTTCTCTAGTTAATTAGGACCCTCTCAAGCAAACACATAACTACCCACCAAATTCCCCTTGTGCAGATAATCACATCTTGAAATTGCCTCTCCAGCTTGTGAGAGTGCAGTCCTGTGTCTGCATAATGTCACTTATTTCCTTTCTGTCCTCTCTGGCTCCTGGGTGGGGGCTGAACTAAACCTCCATCAGTGATTAACACCATCCCATCATAGCTGGGATGGTTTAACTTTCACTCCCAGCTTTGAGGCATCCCAAGCTTTTATCAGTTCCAAGAGATGAGTCTGATGACACTGAAACATGCCTGGGGAAAAGGTTAGGTCCAACTATGGAACCCAAATTTTGTTCTTCCCACTGGAGATGCCTGCTGAGAATGTGTTATGACCCCTGAGGGTTTCAGTATCATGTGCATGGGAAATATTGGCTTGAATATTTTATTAATGATTTTAGGGTTTTACCCCATGTCATTTTTGCCTCCTAAGAAAAACCTGAAGTTGCTCATAAACCCTTCTGCTGGATGCATCTTTCAAATGTACAGGCAGGTCAAACATAAGGCCCTTAAACTGGCTGTATATAGAGACTCCACACTATTAAGGCAGGATCTTTGTTAACAGGATGATTAGAGTAGGGCAGCCTGGCCCAACTCCTCCCACTGAGCCTGCATCGATCAAAGGCACTGCCTCCCACACCTTGTAATCAACCAGTACTCACCACGATAGCTGCCAGGATGGGCACCTGAAAAATCCATTTTAAATTGCCAGCACTCAAGTCCCAACACCTGAGAAGAAATTAACATCCCATCAGGCAATTATTAGTTACAAAGAGCAACAGACTCAAGTACCTTGTTGGATAAATCCATCCTGGAAGGATGGGTTCAGCCACAGCCTGGTGTAGTGGAGGGACCTAGTTCTAACCCTGCCTTCAGTCAGCATGGCTTCGGAATAGCCCTTCTTCTGCTGTTATACTAGTCAAAGCTGAAACTACTACTAAACACATTTCAAGTTATGCTCTTCATAGGGTAGAACAGCTCTTTCCACACTCATTAAGAGTTGTCCCTTCTGGGCAGGAACTCACCCTTTTCCACTTCTTCACTGCCTTACCAGAAAAAAAAAACCCTGAAAAACTACACTAAGAGTAATCATCCAGCTTTCACGAAAATAAGAGAGGCTTGGAATAAACCTGCACAACTTTGCGTGGGGACAGGTCCTGTCTGAAGACATGGTGATGGGGACAATACTGTGGTCTGACATTTATTCCTTTGCTTCCTTCAGCCCTGCTCTTGCAGTGAGACTCAGCCATGCCCCACAAAAGTCTTAATCTCCTTTTCATCTTCAGCCCTTATCCAAGTGAGAACTGGAAGGGCAAACTGTTGGTGGCGTGGATGTTGGGCTACGGTCCTCGGTCTGCCAAGAAGGGACTGAACACTATTTCCTTCCAGACGTTTCCAGCAGCCATTGAATAAGGTCACTCAGTGTTAATTAGTCTGTTTGAGTTCTCTCCAACTGCGGAGAGAGGAGTGCCACAGGCTTTTCTTTATCTGAGCCAGACAGCCCCCACATGGCAGCTGCAGTTTTCATTTCACAGGCCAAATGCTGCCCAAGCAGTTATTCAAGGAAAGCGAGAGGCAGGGGCAGAGAAACCACCGGTGCTGACTGACAGGCTCTATAAGGATGACCCTGTGCCAGTGCAGATGCATCACACTTCAGTAGCTACTCCATCCTTCCAAGCCTGGAGCTGAATTCCCATTTGGAAAGCAGTGTCCTCCCAGGAAAATACATTTCAAAAGTTGCATGGGGTCACCCCCCCC